TTGGTCAAATAAAAATATTGTATGATTAAATGACAGGACTACATATGTATGGCAAGACAAAACAAAATATCACACAGTTCATAATATTGTAAATCGTGACATGAAGTAATACCATTAACATTGCACGACAATTTTCACTGTGATAGTAAAACTGAAATGACTGATTACATTACATAAAAAAGTAACATTATCATTGTCATCGCTGATACAAAATACTGTCGCAGCCATTGATACTAAACTGATATTTCTTTTAAAACTGACATAATCATCCTACTAACAATACACTGCTCTAGTTCGCACAAATAAGTTTATCAAAATCTGTACCTAAATGCAGCAGAGCGGATCTACTTTTTGTATCTTAAATGCAATGCGTAGAGTTGCAAAAATGAAAATCAAAGTTTACCACTTCATCAACGAAATTCCTGCAGACTGTCAGGATACTCAGACCAGCAGGGTTCCATGCTTGGCACACACAAAAGCCATATTATACACATTTAAATCTGACTGCGTATCTTTTATTGTTCAAATGTTTGAAATTCTCTTGAACATTTGTATCTTCTTCTAGTGACTTCATACAAAACAAAGGTACTCACTGGTGTGGACGAAAGTCTTACCCTTACAACCATCATACCACGTCAGTAAAACCATAAACCAAAGTTCTTCTTCACTCCATTTCTACATTAAAATAAGAATGAATATTGTTGAAAAAGTATTATCACATCTATAAAAATGAAAAGCAATATCTAGCCAGAAGTATACATCAGTTGTAATGGAATTCACAGTGGCTGAATATTGGGATACTCAAATATACATGGGAGGGGGATGGGAAAGGGGCAGGGGTAAGACAACAGGAATGTAGTATATCAAATTCTTACGTATGTAATTACAGAAAAGCTTCTTCAATACATTTGAACAGCATGCCTGAACTACATCTAAGTGATCAAAGTTATAAATCACTTATCAGAAAACGTTCATAAATGTCATAGACTCAAGCACATCTCACTTAAACACATACATTTAACTATATCAGCCAGGCTTTTATCAATTTAGTAATACACAGTTGTACAATTCATCTTCCTTCAGGATTTTGTGCCAATAATATTTGCACAAAGATCCAAATCCTCATCTATGAGATTCAACAAACAGGGCCGGTTATAGTAACCATTCTTACATTCTTACCACATGTGGTTACTAAGAGGATTAACAGGTATGCAAGAGTAACCAGGATACAAGCACATAAAGTGATAGAGGGGAGGCATAGACGGACACGGAAGGAAAGGGGTTAAGTAAAATATTAAGAGGTTAACGAGAGAGAGAGAGAGAGAGAGAGAGAGAGAGAGAGAGAGAGAGAGAGCGAGAGAGAGAGGGGGGAGGAGGAGGAGGAGGAGAGAGAGAGAGA